ATCTAGATTTCAGCCTGATTGAACAGGCCATCAATTTAATATTTGAATGATTGCCTTGTATGGGCACAATCATTAACCCCTCCACCTCCACCGTCTCCTAAAGTTCTTCAGGGATGTTTGTGGCAAAGCTTAAGCTTGCACTTACAACATAGAAACAACTGTGTATGGTGTGTGTGTGTGTGTGTGTATGTGTGTGTGTTTTTGTGTGTGTGTGTGTGTGTGTGTGTGTGTGTATGTGTGTCTGTGTGAGTGTGTGTCTGTGTGTGTGTGTGTGTATATGTGTGTGTGTGTGTTTTTGTGTCTGTGTGTGTTTGTGTCTGTGTGTGTGTGTGTGTGTTTGTGTCTGTGTGTGTGTGTCTGTGTGTGTGTGTGTATGTGTGTCTGTGTATGTGTGTCTGTGTGTGTGTGTGTGTCTCTGTGTGTGTATGTGTGTGTGTGTGTGTGTGTGCGCGTGTGTGTGTCTGTGTGTGTGTGTATGTGTGTGTGTGTGTGTCTCTGTGTGTGTGTGTGTGTCTGTGTGTGTGTGTGTGTGTGTGTGTGTGTGTTGCCTTGTCATAGTTACTGTCCTTCATATGACACGACAATCAATGGATGTGGATGTCTACACTCATTAAAGATTCTGCAATGTCATTTCTCGAAGAGCAGAAGGGAGACTTAGACAGTAGTCCTCCTCAACCAACACCAACAAAGCACTTTAAAATGGTCATTCACTTCACTGCTGTTTTGAGGCCTTGTGTCCTAGACAAGTGGTCTGTTAGCTTGTAAGAAGGACAGTAACTTTGCTTCAAAGTAACTAATTACAATGTGAAGCACTGAGACAGGTGGTAAGGTGTCAGATAAATGTTTCGCTGCTGCAGTTTGTATCAGTGATTGAAACAAAAGGGAAGATTAGAAGGAGCAAAGACGTGGGACAAGTAAACAAAAAAAGAGTGGGCAGAGGAAAATAGTGTAGAATGATCTGCACAAAATGTGGAAAATCACTGGCATGACCTGCTGTCACTGTACCCCACATCCATCTAACCCTGTTCTTCCTCTTTCTGAGAGACTGTTCTTACCTGTAGATGCAGCTGAGAGTCAGATAAAGCAGCATAAAGATGAGGAATTCCTTGTACAGTAGTTTGTATATGCTCCCCTTCCATTGGAGCAGCAACTTGGAAAAGCCACATAGACGGGCATTAGCCACTCGGCTTGTGTAGGTTACGGTCATAGCACAGTCTGGAAGGAGAAACATCACTTCAAATGTTGCAGCACGCTTTTAAACATTTTCTTCGCCACCACGTTCTCTCTCCTCTTCATCGATTGTGTCAATGGGCCGAGGAGTGGCAGATGGAGTTTAATTTGGATAAATGTCAGGTATTGCATTTTGGTAAAACAAACAAGGGCAGGACTTATACAATTAATGGAGTTGGGCAATGAAGTAGAACAGAGAGACTGAGGTGTTCAGGTCTTGATTCTTTGATATTTTTATCATAGGTGGACAGGGTGGTTAAGAAAGCATTTGGCACAATTGCTTTGATTGCTCAGGCCTTTAAATATTGGAGTTGGGGTGTCATGTTGAGGTTGTACAGGACATTGGTGAGGCCTTTTCTGGAGGACTATGTTCAGTTCTGGTCACCCTGTTATAGGAAAGATATTATTAAGCTGGAGAGGGGTCAGAAAAGATTTACCAGGATGTTGTCAGGAATGGAGCATTTGAGTAATAAGGAGAGGTTAGAAAGGATGGGACTCTTTTCACTGGACCGTTGGAGGTTGACGGGTGACCTTTTAGAGGTCTATAAAATCATAAAGGGTATAGATAAGGTGAATGGCAGGTGTTTTTTCCCTAGGGTGGGAGATTTCAAAACTGAGGGGGCATATTTTTAAGGTGGGAGGAGAGATTTAAAATGAGGGGCAACTTGTTTACACAGAGCATGGTTTGTGTGTGGAATGAACTTCCAGAGGAAGTGGTGGATGTGGGTACAGTTACAACGTTTAAAAAATATTTGGGTAAGTATATGAATGAGAAATGTTTGGAGGGATATGGGCCAAGCGCAGGCAGATGGGACTAGTTTAGTTTGGGGATTATTGTCGGTATGGACTGCTTGGACTGAAGGTTCTGTTTCTGTGCTGTATGACTCTATGGTCTGAAGTTGTTGACTCATTTTGGGATGCATTTGGCCATGAATAAGAATTGACTGCGTCACTTTTTGGAAGTATCATTCAGCCATGAGGGACGCCTAATTTTGTGCTCGCTTGAAATTCCCACATGTACACAAGCAGCAGTCAATGAATGCATGAAATTCTGATTGGTTTTTACATTAATCCAGCACAAGGTATTGAACAGTGCACTTGTGAGCACCCAATCTGATATCAGCTAACTCTAAACTGACTGAGTATTCAGCTTGGCATGTTTCAAAATTACAACTTTTACCATTCACAATAGTGACGAGCGTGGAAACACAACTGCTTTGAGAGATTAAATCAAAGCCCCACCTATCCTGTGGACCGTTAAAGCTCCCATTTTCTTGAGGCAGAATGTGAGAGATCTCATTGTCACCGGGCATCACTCATCCTCAAATTGATACTTAAAGTCAACATATTGCTGTTTGTAGGAAATGCTGTGCAGAAGCTGCCTGATACTTTTTCTACATTACAACAGTGGGCTATGTTGTTCTTTGGGTCATCTTGAGTTCATAAAGGCCTGCTATAAATGCAGGTTTTCTGTTCAACATAAATGAAATGTTTCTGTGGATAGATGGATTTAGATTGTAGATAGTGGAGCCCTGGCAGCTTAGTTTGAAAAGTGTCATGTATGTGTTTGAATTCTAGGAGAATATTAACTTGTAGTATTGCCTAAGCAATTATAAAATTGTGTAGTGCAGTAAAAATATCAAGTGCAATGTCTGTGACAAATCAGAACATCATACAGTAACAGATGGATTGTAAATAGCATGAGGAATTTCAAACCGTAACACAGCAGAAATGTAACAATGTCAGACTAATAGAATAAGACTATGTCAACAGTGACAGTAAATGAAGTCAGGTTGTAACATAGCAAGACTATCAGAATGTAACACGGTATTAAATGGGTGCATATTTAGATAAGTCTGAAACAGATTCTGATCCACATGATCCTTGAATGTTTCATTTGGTAACATGCTCATGAATTTTTGCCTTTTTGGGATAATTTGCTTCTAGTAAGGTGGTTCTTCTTTCTTCTGGCTTGGATTTCTGAAAGCAGAATTACTACTCCAGCTGACGCAAATCATTGACCGTGCAAAATTGAGATAAACCATTGCAATTTTAGGATAAATCACAGATATAGAATATCTTTCTTCAGATTTACTGTATTTAGAAGATTTCAAAGTCACTCAGATTTGCTATTTCGACAGACCATGAGCGAAGATACTGCTAGTATTGATTAGTTTTAACACAATTAAATGTCACTTTACAAATGATACTTACTGTAGGTTAGGGCTGTAGACTCTCCATTTTCCTTCTGTTCATGTTCTGACTCTCAGAAGGTTCCAGAAGGCTCTTTTTCTCATGTGCGCATGGTAATATGGCAAAAGAAAAGTGAATGGAATTTGAAAACCCTTTCAAGTAGTGGTGGTCATTTGATCAGCTAATCTGCAGATTTACAGCACGGCTTTGTTCTTGTGTTAATCTCCTTTTCTAACATTCTGTTTGGTTTTTACTGCTTTTTCACAACTTTAAGTGGTAAAGCGTGTAAACTGTAAAAGACCAAACTGATATTCGACCATTAAAGTTTAGGACTGTAAAAACATAATTCTTTGCATATTTTGCACACTTAAAATCCCAAATATCTAGCTTTTAGCCCTCTGTCCTGACAGTTTTGCAGTCTCTCTACCACCTTTGATGATCCAATTCTAATTAAAACCATTCCTCCCTTGTACCTAGTATGGACATCATTTCCATTCCCTTAAGCCCAAGAGTTCAGACTTAATTGGAAGATAATGGCATCAAATGGCTTATCCATTTGCTGCTACGTCTCACTTCTATTGCTTCCCTCCTTATAATGAACCAACTGAGCTAAACTTCTTGGAAAGCACCCCTGTCGTAGCCCCAAAAGCACATTGTTCTCTACTTTCTTTTAAATCTCCCCTTGACTTGTCTTGGTGCTCATCTTGGAGTCATAGTGTCAATCTGAGAAAGAAGGAGGAGTTTGTCTGTTTACTCTCTTTAGAGTAATCCAGGTAGTCCCAGTGGGTAGGAAGCCAAATCAGTCCAACAGTTCATTAAAAGGAACAAAAACAGAAGTTGCTGGAAAAACTAGGTCTGGCAGCATCTGTGAAGAAAATATCAGAATTAACGTTTCGGGTCCAGTGACCCTTCCTCAGAACCCACCTGTGGAAGGGTCACTGAACCCGAAATGTTAACTCTGACATTTTCTTCACTGATGCTGCCAGATCTTACGAGCTTTTCCAGCAACTCCTGTTTTTGTTCCTGATTAACAGCGTCCACAGTTCTTTTGGTTTTTATTTAGTTCATTCAGAGGCAGGTTCAGTATTCACCACTTTCTCAGATATTTTTCCAAACGAAAACATAACTTTTCTTTCAAACTGTCATGCTGCATTTCAAGCATGGAGCTGGGTGGATGGAGTAAGGTCTCACACATTAAAGAAACAAACTGCAAACATCAGCTGTTATTGTATCCATGGAGATTGTAGGCCTTAACTTGGATTATTTCTTTAAGCAGGCCTTAATTTGGCAGCTCAAAAATTGCTAATAACTTATTTTGTTATTACTCAGAGAGCAAAGGAAGACATTGGACTTACACAGCAGGCTGCTCAGCCTGTAAAAGAGAAAACAAAATGGGTTAGCAGTTTGGGCTTTGCCTTTGACAGAACTGTTGTTCAGTATTGTTAATCCAACCTTTTAAATGTTGATAAAAAGCATTGTACCTGTAACATTTTCTCTATTACAGCATCATCCCTTGCACTAAATTGCTGGTCACTCAAGTTACCCTCCTAATTTCCATGTTGTTTTTTTCCTTTTAGGTTTAGTCCCTCTCACCTTTAAAGCTGCCATCATCACTGCTCTCATTGAGAGAATTCACTTCTCACTTCTAATCTGTGTATAGATGTGTTGAAATATTATTTCTTTTTGTGCTTTGTACATAATAAATTCACTCTTTTGTTAATTCAAGAAAGCCTGGTTAAATTAGTTCCTTTTAAAACAAGTTCATTTGGTCAGCGTGGAATGTATCCACAATCGAGAGGATCTTTTGTAGTTTAACTTGTTGCAACTAATAGGGAGAATAAAGAATGGGCACAATCTTTTAGGAGTCTAAATGTTGTGGGCTATAACAAGAAATCAGGGAGAATTGCATGAGATATCCAGTGAGGTCTTTCTTGAAGTCATGAGTAACTAGTTACATTGTCGAACAGTGTTGGAATATGAGATATTTGTATCACTGATGGCCACAGGTGAGGTGTTGGAAGACGGGAGGTTGGCTAACATGTTGCCACTATTTACGAAAGAGGTAAGGAAAAGCCAGGGAACTGTAGACCGGTGAGCCTGACATCAGTAGGGGGCCAGCTGTTGGAGGGAAAGGACAGGATTTACATCCATTTGGAAAGGCAAGGACTGATTAGGGATAGTCAACATGGCTTTGTGTGTGGGAAATTGTGTCTCACTAACTTGATTGAGTTTTTTGAAGAAGTGATGAAGATGATTGATGAGGGCAAAGCAGTGGACGTGATCTTTATGGACTTCAGTAAGGCTTTCACCAAGGTTCTTCATGGTTGACTGGTTTGCAAGGTTAGATTACATGGAAAACAGGGAGAACTAGCCATTTGGATACAGAACTGGCTCGAAGGAAGAAGACAGAGGGTGTTAGTGGAGGGTTGCTTTTCAGACTGGAGGCCTGTGACCAGCGGTGTGCCACAAGGATTGGTGCTGGGTCCACTGCTTTTTGTCTTTTATATAAATGATTTGAACGTGAACACAGAAGGTATAGTTAGTAAGTTTGCGAATGACATCAAAATTGGAGGTGTAGTGGATAGCAAAGAAGGTTACATCAGAGTACAACGGGATCTTGATTAGTTGGGCAAATGGACCGAGGAGTTGCAGATTGAGTTTAATTTAGACAAATGAGAGGTGCTGCATTTTGGAAAGGCAAATCAGGGCAGGACTTATACACTTAATGTCCTGGGGAGCCTTGATGAACAAAGAGATCTTGGAGTGTATGTTCATTTTATCTGTGAAAGTGGAGTCCCAAGTAAACAGGATAATGAAGAAGGCATTTGATATGCTTGCCTTTATTGGTCAGTGCACTGAGTATAGGAGTTGGGAGGTCATGTTGCAGCTGTACAGGACATTGTTTAGGCCACTTTTGGAATACTGCACTCAATTCTGGTCTCCCTGCCAAAGGAAGGATGTTATGAAACTTGAAAAGGTTCAGAAAAGATATACAAGGGTGTTGCCAGGGTTGGAGGCTGAATAGGCTGGGGCTATTTTCCCTCAAGCATCGGAGGCTGAGGGGTGACCTTGTAGAGGTTTATAAAATCATGAGGGGTATGGAAAAGGTAAATAGGCAAGGTCTTTTTCTTTAGGATGGGGTACTCTAAAACTAGAGGCCATAGGTTTTGGGTGAGTGGGAAAAGATTTAAAAAGGACCTAAGGGGGCAACTTTTTCATGCAGAGGGTGGTGTGTATATGGAATGAGCTGCCAGAGGAATTGGTGGAGACTGGTACAATTACATCATTTAAATGGCATCTGGGTGGGTATATGAATAGGAAGGGTTTAGAGGGATATGGGCCAAATGCTGGCAAATGGGTCTAGATTTATTTAGGATATCTGGTTGGCATGGATGAATTGGACCGAATGGTCTGTTTTCGTGCTATACATCTCTATGACTCGAATTGTGAGTTGCCTATTAACAGGGATTATTGCTTGTTGTCAGCTTCATTAACAACATATCTCGCCTCATTAATATGCAGCTTCCTATCCTACCACCTGCCTCGAGAAAACTGGCTGCTGTAAATTGCCGACATGTAAATGGGGGCCTGGTGACTTTAGCTCCACCTCTGAACTTCCATCTTGGATACACAGCACTGGCATCTGCATTTACCATCTCATATGCTCCGTGGGTAGTGACCGGGTACACCGCTTGTCCATGGTCATTGGCCTCAGACACTTAACAATCTGCTCACATCATTGTGGCACATCTCCAATCCACTTGAACCACGCTGTTTTACTGGGAGTTATCACTGCAATGCTGCTGCAAGGACAATGTGTGTAGGGACAGGCACCCAGCTTATGGATTGGACCTGGCTGCTCATTTGCTTCCTTCCTGCTCGCTCATTCAGTCACTCACTCACGCACCGTGAGTCATCCCCGCCTTACCTTGCTTTGCTATTTAGCGTTTTGCTACATTTGCCAGAGATAGCAGACTCAAGGTACTTCTGTCTTGCCTTGCAATTTGCCGTGCTACTTAGCACAGTCATAAAGCCAGGAAGGTTGTAGTGGCTATCAGCTGTCCTCAGTCTGGTCCAAGGAAGAAACCTTTCAGTCCGGGGTTCTCGGCACAGCAAGTCAAGGGCAGCTTCCAATACCAATCCAAAGGCTTGGGCATGGTCAGTCAGGGTCAGGATCCTCTTGATATCTGGTGAGGATCAGGATATCAGGCACCCCACCCCCCGTCTTGTCTCTTCCTGCTCTATCGTGGGTTCTTTCTTTCCTCAAACGAGAGAAGGGACTATATTAAGAGAGATGAAAGTGGATTTTACAGCTGTTAGTGCTGCAGCAGATGAGAGAAATGTGGTGAGGTGTCCTGTGTGAGTAGGCAGTGCAGGGTTAGCAGTGTCGAGATTGTGTGGGTGAGACCAAGCGAGGGAAGATGTTACATGTTATGGTGAGAGGGGTAGAGCATGAGACTTGGCAGTAGGTGTGTTCAGAAGCACAGATAGAGTGAGTGCGGGATGGCAGAAAGACGAGTGTGGCACTCACCCTGATGGGAAGGAAAACATCATTAACCTTCTTCCTACTCTGCTGTGTGTTCCTCCAAATGGAACACACTGCACTGACCAGGCTGGCAGGGTCTGGTGTTGTGGCCTCATTTGCCAGCCCTGGGGGATGACCTTTCTCAGCACCATCTCATCCAGCAGGACCTCCAGGTGTCAGCCCACAAAGCAAGCTACCAAATCCCACTTCTCTCTGATTTTAGAGGCAAATGTCATGTACCATGCAGGGCAGTTCCTCACTGACAATACTGGTTTGGGTCTACAACAGCCTTTTAAAGATGGCACTGGACCAGGTATTTTGGGCCATTCTCTAATATCCAGGCAATGCCTATGGCCAGTGGGAGAATCAGGCTCGTGTTGGATGAAAGAGGCAGGATGGGTAGTTTATGAGGTGAGTTTGGAAAACTCACGAGGCTCTGTGTAGAAAAAACCTCCATGAAACCTGATGAAATTGGGACTTACTCAAAAAAAGTGCAAGATTCCACCCAATGTTTTTGGACCCTGCTCCAAATTCCATTCTCTAGTGTTAGGGCTTGCTAGACTAGCATGCCAGATATTGAACCCTGCTATTCCCAGAGTGTTACCAAATGTTAGTTTTTTTTAAAAGGTATATACAGCATCCCAATTTACCTACCTTGAAGACTAATGTTGATAGAAAGCATCGACCAAGTTTCTGTACCAAACAAGAATTATTATTTATTTTAAGTAATTAGGCTATAGCTACAAATAAACAAATTTAAATCATTGGCATAAAACATGACCAGCTAAAATTCTAATCCCCTTATAAACTCTCCATTTCTCACTCTCACACACACACATGAAAAACAAACAAAAATATATAGACACACAAACAAATAGGGAAAATAGATTATTGGTAGAGGTAGAGAAGAACTTGAAAGTCACTTCAGTTGTCTTTGCTTCTTGATTTTAATATTGAGATAATCCTACCTCAACTAGCCAAATCCGTTGCTGTTCAGATGTCTTCCTCTGGAAGCTTCATAATAATTGCAAACTGTCTGAATCATTTGGAAAATGTCTCTGATTTATCAATTTAAAAGTCACAGCTCAAGCAACTGCTGCAGGAAAAGTAACTGGTTTTCTTCAAGTTTAAACTAAGTTTTTAACTGCAGAGAACGGGCAGCTTCTTCTGGGAAGAAAAATAGCAATTCTTTGCATTTCTCTTTCAGTCCATTTCTGCATCTCTGTAACTTGTTTTCAGTTCCAACCTGCTCAGTTAGCTGAGAACTAATTAGCTTTACTTGCAAACAACCCCTTGGTTCCTGATCATCTGCATATTGCTGGAACCTATAGCCACACAAAAAAGAGTTCCCAATAGGTATCCTATTCCTTGCTGTGAAATTATGTAGCCATTTTGATCAATCCCTGTTTTGAAAAACAGTTCTTTCTTCTTGCAGTGCACAGTTTCTACAGACATAAAAATGAAAAAAAGTCAAGGTTCTTACGCTAACTATTGACTCTATCCCTCTCCCTGGCAACAGTCTCAGAATAAACTAGTCTGTTCACAACCTTGCTTTCATATTTAACCCTGAGCTGAGTTTCTGACCATATGTCTGTGCCACCACTAAGACTGTTTATTTCCATCTTCTTAACATCACCTAATGTTGTTCTTTTCTCAGATTATCTCCTGCTGGGAGTCTCATTCATGTGTGTTCCATGACCTCCTACATTGTACATACCTTAATTTTGAGCTCATCAAAACTCTAAAACTTAATGCATTTGACTATCACCTCTGTGCTCGCTGATATATGCTGCCTCATAGTCAAGCAATTGATTTTAAGATTTTCATCCTTGTTTTCAAATCCATGGCATCCCCTTTCACTTTCTTCTGAATCTTCTTTAACCCTGCAACTCTCTGATATATTTGCACTCATTTAAATCTGGTCTCTGGAGCATCAATTCTTTTTAAACAGGTCTGAAAGTCATTTGGGCAGTGACCTCAATCCATTCCAAGAAAGAATGTGATTTTAGTCAAATGTCTGGGAGAACCATTGTAGTACTGATGGGTAAAATGTTTATACTGTTGGGTTTATGAAAGGCAGAGGAAACACATTCAGACAATTAGTTTTGTTTTGACTTCAGAACAGAAAGTTCAGA